GGAACTAGATGATCTTAAGGTCCTTTCCAACCCAAACCATTCTATGATTCTACGATGCTAAGCTCCTAAGAGTTACATCTCGCCTGTGCTTTTCCCTGTAAACCTTTGTCTCCCTCCTCGGTACTCTTTCCTGTTTTCTACCATTCAGAGACACAAGCATATTTGAAGTCTGCATTTAGAGTAATTTTTCCCTCTGGAAGTTATTTCCCTCTCCAGAAACTAATGAATTTGATGAGTGCGTGCTCCTCAGCAAGCTCACTGAAGTCTGTGGCTAGAGGATGGAAGCCAGACTGCCAGAACTTTTGATTTGAGCTTACAGTCTTCCACAGCTGGGTAAGTCTGCTGGGCCTGCAAATAGGTCTGGCTGCTTCTGCTTTTCAAAGCTCTGGATGCTGCAAGAAAAAAATGTCAGCAAAGCAAATGGACATTGCCAAGGTTGCCAGAGCTTGACAAGCTCTTAACTGTGCTTGCAAATCCATCAGAATTAGTGTGCTTCAGTGTAATGGTGCATAGCTCCTGACACTCTGCCAACAGCAACTGCAAGCCAGCAAGCCTCAAACGGGAAGTATTTACTTGCCAGGGGAGAAGAACCCAAGAAGTCTCAGGAAGATTCCAGCCAGTCTTCATCTCCTCCTCCCTCTCCTGAATCCTCCTCTATCCCTCCCTCTGGACAAGTTCTCTCTCTTCTGGCAACCATGTAAAGAGCAATGTTTAATTTGGACCTGATGGGAAGAGGAGACAAAACTTGCCTCCTCTTCAGTAGCAAAGGGGTAGCGGTCAGGGCTATCTCCTACCCATCTCTCCTGCCCCAGGGGAGCAAACAGGCAGTACAGACTGCTATATTTGGAAGGATGAAAGGGTGGAGTGTCAGTTAAGTTGTAAAAATAGAGAAGAATAGCTTTGTAAGAGTCCACGTCAGACAGTCCCACCTTCACTGCCCAGCTTTCACATATAAAGAAAGGGTAAGACACAGGCAGAAGAGAAAAAAATTTCAGAACAAAATGTTTGTATAAAGATACGGTTAAAGATGGACAAAGACCCATTTATACAATCTTGTTGCAAGAAACCTCTCTCCCTCTGGCTAAAGTAACTTTAAAGAAGCTAGCATCATGTTGTGGGAAGTATCTTTCAACTGGACACAGAGACAAGAATATGAATCAGCACCTGAAGCGCACAGAACTGAAACACTTTCAAGTACCATGTTAGAACTATACAGGATTGTAAAAATTAGCAAAAAGTTTACATTACTCATAACAACAACAAAGCTTGGAAGTTGTGTGTACCTTGCTTAAGGGGAAGCAGTTGTTATCCTTTCTGATCAGACTTACAGAACAGTAGGAATTAACACAGAAGAACAGAACCAGGAGAAAAAGCTTTTTTTCTTAGGAACTGCTTCACCATTGTCAGATCTACTGGTCAATAATGGAGCTCTTCAGTGGAACATAAAAACCAACCCATGCAAGTGGAAAGCAGAACTAGAAAAATGCTATTAAAGATGTGCCAGGAACAGCTGCAGAACAGGCAAGATTTCTCAAGGTTAAGTTTAAACTATGAAGGAAAGCAAGTAATCACTACAACTGAAATCCAAGCAATGGCCATGGCAACTGAACTGGCAGGATTTCAAGTCAGTGACTGAATTGTTAGGAAATATTTAGCTTGCTAGTCTGGCCACATTTTCCATTCCATTCCCTTAGTTCTCCCCATTGTCATTTGGGTAACTTTCAGAA